GATTCACGTTTTATTTTTCCTCTAAATATTCTATGCATGTTTGTATCAATTGGATGTTACAAGCTGCAAGACGTTTGATGAAAAAAAAGGCAGGATTTACAAGCAAAGAACATAGGTACTCGGATAACAGATTATATAGTTTTCCCTTTAACTGATAGTCCTGAGTACTTGTTTTACAAACTGCAAAGTGCCTTCAGATGTATTGACTTCACTGTGGAGATGGAGTATTTACTGTGCAATGCTGAGTCATGTAAAAGGAAAGGCAGTCTGTGGGCTGGTGAGAAAAGTGATGGAGACACGAGCGTGCTCCCGAAGAAAAGACTTAGTTTTCTTTTCTTTTTTTCTTTCTTTAATTTAACATCAGTAAACCAAATGATACACTGCCCTACACCTGTTGCACAGTATATACCAGTGTAATAGTGAAATGACTGTTTTACCCTGCTGATGCTCCACCGGCCCCCTCTGAGCTCCCGCGTAGGTACACACGCAGGCCACACACACATACCCCAGATGCAGCAGTGTCCCTAGCACGCTAGAGGGAGCCAATACATAATTACAATGACCTTTTTTTTTTTTTTTTTTTTTTTTTTTTTTTTTTTTTTTTCCTCCAGTTAGCAGAACTTGAACAGGAGATAACTGGACAACTGGACATCCTAAGACAGCTTGCGGGCTGGATGTAAGGGATAAGGAAGGGAGAGCACAGGGCTCAAGCTGCGGTGATACGAGGTCTCCTGGCAGCCCAGGGTCTGGCTCTGGTGTTAGCTACGTTTTCAAAGCCCTCCTGCTTTTACGAGTGACTTTTCCAAAATAAGTGACTTGGCCGAGTACGCCGATTTCCATCAGCCAATCTGAAGCCTTCCTTCGGAAAGCAAAGCATGTTGTAAACATTTCCTTTATTTCGTCTGTCTGTCGCTCTCACACTGAAAGTTGGCACATCTGAGAGCAGTGATTTTACGCTGCTGCTAACGTATGGATGGTTTATTTATACGCTGCATTTTAACACAGCGTTGGTTTTATGATGACTGTTCTGCAGGGCATCCTGTCTGTACCCGAGCTACAGAGACGTCTCCAGGATGGGAGATGGGTCCAGAAAGAGCACTTATTGCACTGATGCATTAGCAAGACTTTCTCCAAGTCAGATGATGTTTACGGGCACCGAATGGGCTGGAGGCTACCCTACTGAGGAAGGCAACAGAGCAGCTTCTTTAAACCGAATCTTATAAAAGCCGCTCTGAAAATAATTGCCAGGAGCGCCTTCTAATTGCTCCGGAGTTGATTTTCCCCCTCGTTATTTTTTTAACCTTAAATGATTCATGCTACTTACACGCTCGTCACTCACAGCTCACAAATGGCAGCTTCCTCCCGGCACTCCGGCAATCCGAGCTCTCACCTTGCCAGCCTCAGTTCTCCCCCCGCGCCAAATAACCTCCCTTCGTGCCGTGCCGGACCGTGCCGTGCGGCGGGAGCGCAGTACGCTGTGCCGCGTCTGGTGGGGAGGGCGCTGCGGCCGCTCGCCCTGCACCGCACCGCACCTCACCGCACCCAGCGCTCCGCAGCGCTGCTCCCACGCTCATTCCCTTCGGGGTGGGCGACACCCCCCCGGGGCGGCTCCTTGCAGAGCTGTTGGAGGGGGTGAGGGGGGGGGGGGGGGAGCCCGCCCCCCCCCCCCCCCCCCCCCCCCCCCCCCCCCCCCGGGGGGGGGGGGGGGGGGGGGGGGGGGGGGGGGGGGGGGGAGCGGAGGGGTTCGGGTGCTCCCTCGCAATGCTTTGAAGAAGGAGTGCGCCCTTCGCGTCCCCTCCTTATTTTCTCCGCCCGTCATCGCAGAAGACTTGTCAATACGTATTAAAATAAATAAAATAATAGTAAAGGGGAAAAAAAAAAAAAAAAAAAAAGCATTAAGGAAGGAAAGGCGCGCGAGGGGAAAGGGAGGTGGGTTGGGGAAGGGTTGGGGAAGCTGTGCTGCTCGGTTTCGAGGCCCCACATCCCGAGCACCGCGCACGTTGCGCGACTCCCAGCGAAGCAATCTAATCAATGACACCCAGCTCCAGCCGATGCCCCGCCCCCCGTCCGCCCGCTGCTTCCCATTGGTCGGGAGGCGTCGGGGCCGGTCGCCACTGCCGCCTCCGATTGGCTGACGGGGACTCCGTATCAATGTTTAAGCCGCGGCGTGAGGTGAATAGAGGCAGTCGGCGAGCGGCGCTGGGAGAGCGCGGCGAGGCGGCCCCGCGAGTGCTGCAGTGAGGGAAGCGAGGCGGAGGGGAACAGGGAGGGGGAGAAAAAAAAAAAAAAAAAAAAAAAAAAAAACCGGGAGGGAAAAAAAAAAAAAGGGGGGGAGTGAGAGGCAGAGAGCGGCTCCAACTGTTGAATTTTCGCTGCATCTCCACTTCCCTGCTGGCGGCTGGTGCCATGGATCTGGTTTATCGGGAGTCGGCGTTCCTTTTGCGTGCTGTCTGGCTAAGGCTGGCGACCGTCTGTTTGCGAGGGGCCACCCACCAATGAGGCAGAGAAGAAACTGTGCTTTTGCTTTGGCTTTCGCCAGCCTCTCCACCACAGGTTGCAGCATTAACTCTGTACTTTGGGTCCGGACTCAAATAAAGGAGAAAAAGCAGTGCAGGACTGAGACTCGGAACTAGAGCTGTGTGTTGGGAACCTATGTTGTTTTGGGGTGTTTTCTTCTGTTTTTTTTTTTTTTTTTTCTTTTTTCTTTTAATCTGAAAGAGCTCTGATTATTGCACACATAACACTGAGGAAAGGTGGTTTAAAAACACTCAGCAAAACAGGAGACAGACGCGCCTCTGTGCCAGTTCGTGGATAACAGCCTTGTTTTCCTGATCCTCAGTCTCCCGGAGAAAGAGGTATAGTAAAAGTGTAGCTGGATCCGACACCCCCTCTCTCATTCTTTTCTTTTTTTCTTTCCCCCCTTCCCCTCCAAAACATACATCTGGTTATTATTATTATTATTATTTCTGTCTATAGAGTGAGTCAGAGAAGCGTTAGGGAGAAGCTGCAACTAATGTCTGTGAAGGGAGGAACATGAGGAGATAGTGAATGTGATTTGTTCCGCTGGATCTGACTCATCCAGCAGCCTGGAACACCTGCATTTGGGGTCTGCCATTCATTTATTTCTGGTTGCTAGAAGAACCTGAAACAAAATTGAGCAGCCTTTCCCCAGTATTTACTGGGAAAGGTAAATCAGACAGGGGGAACGCATCTGGCATTGCCGCTGCTCTCCGCACTATTACTGAGATGCCCAGAGAGACTACAAGAGCCTGACGGGGCTGCAAAAATGCATCACACTCCGCCACGGAGCTGCATAGGTTTAATATAGGTGAATCAGGCGATTAAAAGACCTGCCACTTTATTCACCACCGGGATTGCTTTTCTCTTCTCTCTCCTCCCCTGGATGAAGCGGACTAGGTGGCAGTATCACTGGGAGGAGATGCTGTATAGGAAGAAAAGAGAGGCACTTGACAGCGCAGCCCTGTGAATACAGAGACTGTTTTCCTTTTAGAGAGAGAGAGAGTGTGTGTGTGCGCTTTTCTTTTTTTTTCCCTCTCCTCTTTCCTCCTCCCCCCACCACCCCCCCGCTTCTTTCCTTTCTCTCGCGCTGTTGTTTAATCTATGCGTCCAGCCATGGGTTGCCTGTTGATTTCCTCTCGACTGGAGAGAAAAGCAAACTGGGATTAAACTGCAGCGAGAAAAGTGCAGCTCCTCAGACACGCATCCGCACACACGCATAGACGCACAGAGAAAGGATGTGGTGGCGGCGGCTGTTGGCCTGTCTTAAAGAAACCCGAGCGTGCATCTGATTAGCACAGCCTGCGATTGCTCTTAAAAGATACATGTTTGCTGCTAATGGTGATGATGAGCTGGTGGGTTTCTTGATTTTTCACTATTTTTTTTCCCTACCCTATTAGGCGAGTGGGAGGCTGGTAGTAGAGGGAGAGAAAGGGAACTGTAGATCCGGACACTAGTTTTTTGTGGTTTTGTGTGTGTGTGTGTGGTGGGTTGTGGTTTTTTTTTTTGTTTGTTTGTTTTTTTGTTTTTTTTTTTTTTTTTTTGTGTGTGTGTGTGTGTGTGTGGTTTTTTTTTTTTTTAAATTTATTTGTTTTATACTTTGATCTGCCATTCTCATCCCCTTGCCTTTTGATTCGGGAAAGAAAGAGTGAGGGTGTTGGAAACAGAGGAGGAAATACCGATGGCAGCGAGATGCAGCTCTCCGCCGCAAGCAATGCAAGATTAGATCTCTAAATGCAGCAAAACACTCCCTGAAAGCCAACAGCCCCGCGGTGCAATCAGACATTTCACTGCCTCTCACTGCACACGAAGAGGGCTCCTCCAACAAGCTGAGACTTTTTTTCCCTTCTGTCTCTCTCCCATCCCTCCACTCCATCAATTGCATCGCAAGTGATGAGTAGCAAATAAGATTTTTCTCCCCCTGCTTACAGACCTGTGGCCACCACCCCCTTTTCCCATGTATGTATGAATACACGTATTTAAAAAAAAAAAAAAAAAAGAAATCTTTTTTTGATCATTTTTTAGAAACACAACCACCGCCGCTGATTTTTTATTATTATAATTTTTATTATCCTTTGTACATCTGTGAACATTCAAGGATCGGGAACGCTTCGTCTGCCCGGAGGAGAAGATTTTTTGTAAATTTTCTGATTTTTTTTGCAATCTTCCCACTGCCGAAGTTGGACTGCCGAAGTAACTGTGAGGGGACCGCAATCACGGCGAGCGCTTCCTGAGACGCTGCCGGAGCTGCTCCCCCCTCCCCCGCCACCCCCCTCCGTCTGCTCCCTCCCTCCCTCTGAGCTACATGGTCCATTTGCTGCCTCTCATCCTGAGTCTCTGCAGATGTTTTAGAGCAACAGGTTCAGGAACTTAAAATATAGGGGTGGGGAGAGAGAAGGAGAAAAAAAAAAAAAAAAAAAAGACAGAAGAGGAAGAGCAAACCTAGTGCAGGAGGCAGAGAAGACAGGGACGACCCTGGTCACCACTGCAGCTGCTGCCATTCCCCACCCCTGCTTGGGGATGTACCTTTCCATTTTTTGCTTCTTCCTCTGCTGGGCTCCTGCCCTGACACTGAAGAACCTGAATTACTCAGTGCCAGAGGAGCAGGGAGCAGGCACGGTCATCGGGAACATTGGCCGCGATGCGCGGTTGGCAACGGGGGCAGCAGGTGGTGGGCTGCTGCCTGCTGAGCGCAGTAGCCCTGGACGCGGATCCAAGTCCACCTTCCGGGTGCTGGAGAACTCGGCCCCTCACCTCCTAGATGTGGACGGGGAGAGTGGGCTGCTCTACACCAAGCAACGTATTGACCGTGAGGCACTGTGCCGGCGCAGCACCAAGTGCCAACTGTCCCTTGAGGTGTTCGCCAACGATCAGGAGATCTGCATGATCAAGGTGGAGATCCAGGACCTGAACGACAATGCACCGACATTCCCTTCTGACCAGGTGGACATGGACATCTCAGAAAATGCTGCGCCAGGCACCCGCTTCCCACTCACCAGTGCTCACGACCCAGATTCTGGGGACAACGGGCTGCGAACCTACCTTCTAACCCGTGATGACTACGGCCTCTTCTCTCTTGATGTGAAGTCCCGCGGTGATGGCACAAAGTTTCCGGAGCTGGTCATCCAGAAGCCATTAGACCGTGAGGAGCAGAGCCACCACACTCTGGTGCTGACAGCACTGGATGGTGGCGACCCACCACGCTCGGGCACGGTGCAGATCAATGTACGCCTCATTGACTCCAATGACAACAGCCCTGTCTTTGAGGCAGCCTCCTATGTGGTTGAACTGCCAGAGAATGCACCATTAGGGACAGCTGTTATTGACCTCAATGCTACTGATGCTGATGAGGGCACCAATGGTGAAGTGCTCTACTCCTTCAGTGGCTATGCACCTGATCGTGTCCGTGACCTCTTTAGCATCGACCCACAGAGTGGCCTCATCCGTGTCAAGGGCAACCTGGACTATGAGGAGAGTGGTCTCATAGAGATTGATGTCCAGGCTCGAGACCTGGGGCCCAACCCCATCCCAGCTCACTGCAAGGTCACCGTCCGCCTCATTGACCGCAATGACAATGCTCCCACCATTGGCTTTGTCTCCGTTCGCCAGGGAGCACTGAGTGAGGCTGCCCCACCAGGCACTGTCATTGCCCTTGTGCGAGTCACTGACCGTGACTCCGGTAAGAATGGGCAGCTTCAGTGCCGGGTGCTAGGAGGTGGTGGTGGGCCTGGAGCTGTCCCTTTCACACTGGAGGAGAACTATGACAACTTCTACACTGTGGTCACTGACCGGCCCCTGGACCGTGAGGCACAGGATGAGTACAATGTGACCATCGTGGCACGTGATGGGGGGAACCCCCCACTCAACTCCACCAAGTCGTTCTCTGTCCGAATCCTCGATGAGAATGACAATCCACCCCGCTTCAGCAAGAATCTTTATGTATTGCAGGTGCCCGAGAACAATATCCCTGGAGAGTATTTGGGCTCTGTCTTGGCTCAAGACCCTGACCTGGGCCAAAATGGGACAGTCTCTTACTCCATTCTGCCTGGGCACGTGGGTGACGTATCCATCTACACCTATGTCTCTGTCAACCCAACCAATGGTGCTATCTATGCCCTGAGGAGCTTTAACTATGAGCAGACAAAGCACTTTGAGTTTCGCGTGCTGGCCAAGGACTCGGGTTCACCCCATCGTGAGAGCAACGCCACAGTACGTGTCACTGTGCTCGATGTCAATGACAATGCACCCCTCATTGTCCTACCTGCCCTCATCAATGACACCGCTGAGCTGCAGGTGCCACGCAACGCTGGGGTGGGCTATCCTGTGGGCACCGTTCGTGCCCTGGACAGTGACTTTGGGGAGAGTGGGCGCCTTACCTATGAGATTGTGGAAGGCAATGAGGAGCACCTCTTTGAGATGGACCCCACTAGCGGTGAGATACGCACCTTGCACCCCTACTGGGAGGAGCTCAGCCCTGTGGCTGAACTAGTGGTAAAAGTCAGTGACCATGGCAAGCCCAGCCTCTCTGCGGTGGCTAAGCTCATTGTCAGGGCCTTGGCAGGGCCCCTACCCGAGGCTGGCGAGCCACAAGTGAATGGCGAGCAGCATCGGCGACCGCACTGGGACTTGTCGCTGCCCCTGATCGTGACCCTGAGCACTGTCTCCATCATCTTGCTGGCTGCCATGATCACTATTGCTGTGAAGTGCAAGCGAGAGAACAAGGAGATCCGCACCTATAATTGTCGCATTGCCGAGTATAGCCACCCTCAGCTGGGAGGAGGGGGAGGCAGTGGCGGGGGAGGAGGAGGCAGTGGCAGTGGAGGGGGCAAGGGCAAGAAGAAGAAGATCAGCAAGAATGACATTATGCTGGTGCCCAGTGAGGGCGAGGACAGCCGGGGCCCCCTCAATGTCATGAACGTGGTGAGCAGCCCATCCCTGGCCACCTCACCCATGTACTTTGACTACCAGACCCGCCTGCCCCTCAGCTCTCCCAGGTCTGAGGTGATGTACCTGAAGCCCGCCTCCAACAACCTGACTGTACCCCAGGGACATATGGGCTGCCACACCAGCTTCACAGGGCAAGGGACTAACGCCAGCGAGGCTCCCCCGAGCCGGATGTCCATAATTCAGGTAGGAGACTTTTAGAATTCCCTGGACCTCACTTTAGACGCTGGTTTAACTTTACGTTTTGTCTGCAGTGAAATCTGCTGTAAGACACCACTGAAGGGACCAACCCAAGTCACTAAATAGAGGTGGACTTAATAAAAGTGGAAGCAGATCACATTTGATGTGTCTGGTTCTGCTGTCACACAATTGTTTCTTGTGTGACTCAAAAGTAAGTGCCCAGTGAAAGAGATGGAGTTACGGCAGTGTAAACGAGGTGCGTGTGAGGGTGCAGGTAGGCATTTAATACATTTGGGGCACTTTGGGGTAATTTCCTAGAAGATCATCAGATAGAAGTGGACGCTTCTACGGGTTTCACTTGGCTTTGGTTAGGAGGTGGAGATGGAGGAGGGTGTTTCCAGAGCAATCTGTAGTGACAGGACATGAGAGAAACTCTACCCACTGAGGACATCTATTGCAACAGTGTATTATAGCCCTCCAATCCTGTATGTAAATACGAGCTTTCTTTTCAAGATGCATGTTTTTATTTTTTTTAACTTCCTTCTTTAGAATATATATGCATAAATATTTATTTTTGACACAGAACAGTATCATCGGGGCCCCATTGCCTCCTCCTCTCCCCATAAACAACCAAAAATTTTTGTTTAGTCAAGTAGAAAAAAATGTATGTGGTGACTCCCTCCTACCCCTAAATGTCAACAAAGCTCACGTCCTGTCATAAAACAGCAAAACGACTAGTCAGATTTCCAGTAGCCTGAGTCAATATTGATTATTGCTTTATAGTGAAAGACTTACATGCTGTGTCTTCTACCAAAGAAATTACGTTTAGAAATTACAGCTGGGCTGCATTCTGCTGTCAGTTATATCCATACTGTCCTCTACCGACTTTTGTGAATGTGAGAAGTGGCAGAATTTGGATCATTGGATATAGGGTGCTAATCAATTGACTTAATTTCTAGTGGGTATTGCAAACTCAGAAGACATATTCTAGAGCAGTGCACTCACAGAGGGAAGGTGAGGGCAGAATTTGGCTCCGGTTGATTTAATTTAAAATATTGCTTTATGATTAATGCAGCTTAATGTTCAAATATTTCAAGTATGTTCCAAAGTGATTTTTAACGTTTGGATTGAAAGCAGGCTCTGGATAATGACTATTAAATATATTTGAAATGTCATATTTGTTTTGTCCTGTAGTCTCCTAATATGCTGTTCTGAGTCGTAGGGGAATGAGCTGAGTGTATCAGAAGTGACACAGACTCACTTTGAATATGCAGCTACTGGGAAAGGAGTTGCACTTTAGACACCTGATGTACAAAAAGAAAATTCATAGTACCTTTGAATTATGCTACCCTGCAGTCTGTGATCACCGGATGTTCTAGTTGCCAGCTGCATCTAACATTTTAAACTAAATAGAAGTACCCATCAGTTAAGTAACAAAAATTCCAGTAACTGATAGCCTGTAAATGGAATATTTTTGACAGGAAAAGAAAAAATAAAAAAAAAAATAAAAAAAAAAAAATAAAGGCTGTTTGTACAAGGTCACTGTGAACTAATCCTCAACCCACTATTGAGTTGAGTTATGTCACAGAAACAATTTCATTTTATGCCTATCATGAATTTGTGTTGCTGTCAATTAGGTGAGCAGAGCAATACGTAAAATCTGGAATTGATTTTAACAAAAAGTGACACTTCAGGAAAGAGTTTAGTTTAGGGCGCAACCAGAGATAATTTGATTTGTAATTCATGCTTTATGAGACAAATAACTTTCAATGACAAGTGTTTAAGTAATGTCAACTTTTTTTTTCACTGTAAAATGGAGTGGTCAGAATGCTAAGAAAAAAAAAGAAAAAAAAAGAAGGTTTTTTTTTGTTTTGTTTTGTTTTTTTGTTTTGTTTTGTTTTTTAACCTACTGGCAAGTGTAATAGTTACTAAGAGCCAAATAATTTTACTTTCCTACAACCATGTAATGCCTATATAAAGCAATTAATTCATGTACTGACGCTACTGAGTAGTAAAAATTCAATTGTAGTGTAAAATCCCTATGGAAAATATGGTACCTTTTTTAAAGTGTTCAGTGTATGATATCAGTCATGAGTTTTTATTTATTTATTTTTCTTCCTGAGGTCTATATAAAGCTAAAAGAGGAATTTCCTCCCTTACAAAGGTGTGTTGTGGTTTCTGTAAGAGTTTTCGATATGGCGACTGTGGGAAATGCTTACCATAACTCCACACAGCACATACAGGCTTATCAAATATTTTACTCTTGCTTTCTCTGAATAGCCAACACAGCATGGGATACCTAGATGGTCCAGCAAGCAGATTAGGAAACATTCATTTTCCCCAGTGAACACCTGTTGAAATGTACTTACTAATGTTATACTTTGTAATTGTATTAACCAAACAAAACCATCATGTGAAACAGAGCAGTTGTTTTCAGTTCAGGAGGGGCCCAGACTTAAAGTAGTCAGAGGGGAAAATCCGATCCTGCTTCACTCTAATTTTGTATTACTGAAATATGTTTTGTATTCTCCATCTCTACATCTCTAGAGTAAATTTTGTATAAAATTTGAATTCAGTATGTATACACTACTTTCTGTCTTGTCTTCCATTTCTGCATCATAGAAAATTCAAACTGCAAGCTCACAGAGAAGCTGTAAAGGATCAGTCCTCTCTGTGGATCTAACGTATCACAGGAAACACAAGAAGAGCAAATTGCACAGTTAGGAATCAAAAGTATAGCCAGTGGATAAAAAAAGATACAGAATCCAAGCAGCTGCTTTATCATCTGCTTTCATTAGTCAATTCAAAACGGCAGTTTTCTTCGTTACTTCAGTAAGAGAAAGCCAAATGGTTGTGTAAGTGTTCCCTAGCGAATATTCACTTGAGTTTTTCCAGGTATATTGCCGAATCGTGGTAATCTCACGCTATATTATTTATACAATGAAACTGCTTTCCTTCACTCTCATTTTCTCAGCAAGTGAGAATAGCAAAGTTCTGTAACAGGAATCAGATATTGTAACTTTGTTTATCTATGTATATCTATATGCTTATATGCAGTGCATATACATATGTATATACATAGTAAGTGTTACATTATTGCTTAGACCGATTGAGTCTGTAAATATTTAAAATCAAGTAATTTATTTATCTGAAAGATCCAAGTTTTCTCACTCTTGATAAGAGTACTTGCCTTTTTTTTCCTCCTTTTCAGTAGGGGCTGTTAACATCAATAGGCTTTGCGATTTCTAATGAAATTATGCTACAAACAGCACAATTTATATCTTTGTATACCTGTGGGATAAACTGTTCCTTAGTGGCTATGGGTTTCAGACTCACCCCAGAGGACTAGAAGCAAAATACTGCTGCATATATGTTATAGAGTAGTGTAATCTTCCCTCTCTTTGAGTGACTCCTGTTATTCACTAGTCACAAGGTCTAACAACTTGTGTCTTTTTTCACTGCTTTGTAGCATTTAGCTACTTGTAATGATTGCGTGTGTTATTTATGTGAGTCAGAGAAGTCATTTGTTACTATAATAATTAAATAATTTAAACATGCACACTTATAGGTACGTGTAAAATTTTGGATAAATAGACAAGGATGCTGAATACCTCTAGCATTTATTGGCTTATAAGAGAATTGCAACTGCCTACGGTTTCTGAAAATAGACCATTTGTGATTTGACATGCATGTGAGGTTGATATGTATAAAGAACAGCATTAATAATGCACCGTGCAGTTAGAACAACTACACATTATCACGTTCTGTTGTTTTTTACTTCAGCAATCACATTCTAAACATATTTTAGAAACACTGCTTTCAAAGAGTAACTCAGTGAAAAACATTCAAATGCAGACAAGAGCTGTACAATTCTCCCTATCACATTAAATATTCCATGCAGTCTTTCAATCACTTGAGTCCAAACTATTCATTTTTACTGGGGAAAAATGGGGAAGACTGGAGAAAATTGAGTGTCTACATGGCTGACAGGCAGTATCAATTCAGTTGAGATCTTAAAGTCTACTGGGCAAATTCTCTTCATCTCATTTTGGTGAGTACATCAAGTTCATGTACTCTCCTGTCAAAGAGAAACAGTATTTTGCTTTATTTTGAAGAAGATATATTAAATATGCATATATAAAGCACACACATATATATAGGTGTGTGAAAAATGTATAAACATAAACGTGTATGTTCATGTCTCTCATAACAAAAGGTTATATGATGACCAGTTTGTGTTAGTTATGGGGAAGCCTTTCCCTGTATGAACAAGTGACAGTCTCTTTCCCTGCAGGATTTCAGCGTATAAGAATGAATGGATACAGGGGAACAAATAGGTTTCTTAAATATATAAGTTCTGGAAAAAGATTTCTCAAAGTGACATGACAGTAGTGCAGAAAACTATCTACTACAAAGACTAGAGATTTTTACCATTCTTGTGGTGCAACTTGGAAAGATTTGGATACATGTGAGGAATGAGACAGGAGTTAATAAAGGAAGTAGTGTCCACAGGTTTTGATATACAAGTCAGAGAAAAAAGAATGGCAGTTCTGCAAGAAGCTCTCAAGCTGGGAACCACTTTAGTTGCTGTGCCAGGCAGTCCTGTAGCATTTTAAGATAAAGTACAGATCATTCTTAATACTTTAGGCACCCGATGTTTACGATGTGTCAACAGATTACTGTTAACTCCCAGTGCAGCTTCATTGCCAGGTGCCTAGTAGTATCTAAGAAGATGCAATCTTCAGGGGAAATAAAAACATGAGCTACATTAGTACTGCTCTCTCTTTAGGTATTATATCATTTCATGCTTTACTTCGAGAAACTTCAGCTCAAAAATGTCAGGATTGCAAGAAAGAAGCATGCAACTTTCCTTACAGAAGTTGCATCATTCTCAGTGTTTTAAAATTCCTGTCTAAAATCAGAGGTAGTAAGTTTGATTTCTGTATCTACTCCGCAAATGTTATTCTCTCTCACTACAGCTAGTAGAAATTAATATTTTACACTAA